AATCATGAAGTATAAGTATTTTGTATGTGAAACCATTGTATAATCGGTTCTGTTTGAAAACCCTGGCTTTAGCCAGTATACGTAGTGTGTATCAGTTCTATTTAGTAAAAATAAAATTGTTGAAGAGTGCCAGGTTGTAAACTAAAGGTGATTTATACATATTGTGAGTCGTATAACCATGCTTGATATGACTAGAGACCTTTCCAACGTTCTTCAGGCGTCGAGTTAAATGACATTTGTCACCCTAGGCATGCCTGCCCAACTGTAGCTAGTAGTTCGGGTGTGGGATTGTCAGTCCCGAATAGATCTATTCACAAATCTCACGCTCTCCCTCCAGGAGACTCTAGTTATACTATGATAGAATTTATCCCTGTACACCTAAGGGTACAGTAGTGAAGTAGCGCCTCACAGTATCGTACAATCTAGTTTACATGTAGTGTCATAGCGTTTTATCGTAGTGAAAATCCGTATGTATACCGTATGTAGTGAATGTTACAGTTTTGAATACCATGATAATGCAGTGATGTAAACTGTAAACCATTTCTGTATTAGTGCATACGTTTAGTAGTGAAAGTTTCCGTACTTGATATGTTTTTAGAAAATCCTAAACTATACCGATTATAGTTTGCATGTATAGTGTAGTGAATATAGTGTTATGGAAAACTATGCAATTTTAGTGAAAACGTCTCTTATGCTCAGCACAGTACAAAAGGGTTAATGTATGAGAATTGCATGAGTTTTATACTTGTTAAAATCTCTTTGTATTAACAAAAGCATTTATGGTGTAGCTTGTAGTCCCCCCTGAAAACGTTTGAAAACCAGAAAATGTAGGGGTATGAACTCACTGTTTGACGTAGGACCCGAGTGTGAGGTCGGTGTGGATGCTGAGTGTCAACTGATGTTTCGTATGCAAGTGTATCCTATTATCATATAGCAACACATATATGTATTAGATGAGGGCATAACATCATCTGTTATGGGAGGAAACCACTTAGGGATTAGGAATCACGTGAAACTAAGTGTTAGGATCACACGTGATTGAAGATAGGGAGTTTGTGGCCGTAATCGAGAGTGTATGGTCAGGGGTTTACGGTCCAATGGGGTTTACGGCCCATGGCTTACGGTCCAAGTTTGCGGCCCAAGTGTTTACGGTCCATGGGTTTACGGCCCAGGGTTTAAGGCCGTAAACACTTGGTGAAAGGTAGGATTTCTGGTGCTTCAAAGTCCTTTCTAGCCTCTTGGGAGTGTTCCGAGTCTTTTGTATGGCAAAAGGGGTGTTAAAGGTTGATCCTTGATCCTTTACTAGAGTTTACGGCCAAGGCGGGATGTACGGCCGTAAACTCTTCATGTTCATGTCTTTTGGGTCGATTTTTAGGTGGAAATCCAAAGTTTCAAGCAGATATCAAGCATAGATAGTAGTTACTTACTATAAGAGGGCTTGAAATGCGATTTTTAGCCACCAAGAACTAGTGTGTTCTTGGTGTTCTTGGTGTGAGAGAAAATCTAGAAAAAGATGAACTTTATGAGATGAAACATGGATTCATCACCAGAAAAGGGATTTAAACACCATAGAAATGAAGAATCACTTACATTCTTGGGGATTCTTGAGCTAAAATCGATGGTTGAAGAGAGAGAGAGTAGAGAGAGAAAGTCCTTTGAGTGCTTAGAGTTCGAATTGAAGGCCACTCATCCCTTATATAGGGGGGGTGAGTTTGCGGCCAAGAGTGAGCTGGCACCGACCGTAAACGAGTTTACGGTCTCGAGTTTACGGTCACGAGTTTACGGCCGTAAACTCTCGGCCGTGAACTCGTTCTGGCCGTGAACTTGAGGCTGACGAGTGAAGTTTCGAGTTTTCGCGTGATTTCCGGTTAATTCCCCTTTGTATAAAAATACACATTATTGATTTAAAAGAGTAAGGTCTTTCCCAAACCAAGAATGTTGACAGAATTTAATAAAACCCCAAATTTTATTAACGGAAATCGGGTATAGATAACGGAAAAAGTTTCGGATTGTCACATTAATTGAACTTTAAATTATACTCAGTAATGCCCTACGATTAATTTAATGTAATATTTGACTTAATGAATTATGTCCTGAAGGGGTTAAGCGTGGAACACTAACCATAGTTATGATTTTATGTGGAAAACCCTAGAATCGGGGAGCTCTATTTTGGACAATGATCGGGCGCGTATTTGGGCTATTGCTTGGATTATTATTATACCCGAGAATGACTAAGTCAAACCTTAATCAGTCCTACCCTTAGGTGATTAAGTTCTTAATGGGTTAAGTGTCCTTACTTAACCCTAATCGTCATTTTATGTGGAACCATAATCGTCATTTCATGTGAGGTAGTCACTGTTGCAAGTGACTATAACCTGTGATCGGGTATTGACTCAAGTATCTTCTTATAGGTGATTGGAAGTGAGTTGAAGCTGGTAGAGTTCTTCATTGCTACGGTGGTTACCTACACGCATATCGAGGTGAGTTTCACATCACTGTACCCGTGGGTCGAAGGCACCAATGTCGACCCACTAGTTTTGGTTATCCGTTAGTAAAGGGATACCTTAGGGACTGTATATAGTCATGTAGGATAGACTGATGACTCTTGATCTAAGCTCTCTTACCTGTTCATTGTTTGGTTGTGGTTCTAGAGTAGGATCACCTGTCCGGGTAACTATCTCACCTCTGAGTATATACGGCCATGCATTCCTTGGATTGTTGATATTTAGTATGTTGCTATACTGTACTGATCTGTTAGATCTGTGTTCTGGTATCGAGTATGTTGCTATGTTGTAGTCATCTGTTAGATCTGTCTCCTGGTATTAAATATGTTGCTTTGCTGTAATAATCTGTAGAACTGTATGTTATATGTGCTTGTTGGTTATCATCTATGGAGTGCCCTTAGGGACTGTCTGTGGTCATGTAGGATAGCCTGAGAACTCTTGGTCTAGGCTCTCTTGCCTGTTCCTTGTTTGGTTGTGGCTTTAGAGTATGATCATTTGTGCGGGTGGCTATCTCACCTCTGGTTACTTATTGTTACGCATTCTATGGAGGTTAGCTGGTAGCAGGACTGTATGTTATGAGAGGACTAGTATGCGGTAGTGAGCTGTATGATTGTTGTTTGCATGTATTATGTGTCTAATTGATCCTGATTGTTTATATGTCGACATGATGTGTTTGGTTGGGTTGAGGCGGTCCTGCTTTGTATCGTAGGCCAAGATACCCGGTGCGGGCCGACTGTAAGCCGTAGGCACGGAGGCTCGGGAGGAGCAGTTGGGTTGAGGCGGTAGGCCAACAAACCTTGGTATTCTGGCCCAGATAGGCTGAAGGCCTGCGAGGCGGTCCAAGAACGGCAGTTATGCATGCTTATATGTTTATCGTATGGGGTATTTTAGGGGAAACTCACTAAGCTTTATACTTACTTAGTTGTTTATTGTTTCAGATATCATCGGTGACTATGGGAAGGCGAAGACGACACTGTACACACTCATCAGCAACATTGAGGATTTCGTATTTTCTATGATACTCTGATTTTTAATAAATGTAATTTGGAATAAATGATTTTTCCTAATAATGAGTTTATAATTGGAAAGTTTTACCATAATAAAACTGAAAAAAAAAAACTAGTTGTGAAAATGGGACGTTACACCAATTTTTAAAACATTGTATGGTGGGTGGCTATTTTAGGTTATTTTAGTGTCTTAAAGATGAGAGAAAAGAAATATATATATATATATATATATATATATATATATATATATGAGAGAGAGAGAGGGAGAGAGAAGGGTGGGCTATAATTTTTAGTTTTTTTTTCTTAAAAAATTATAAATAATAACTAAAGCAATAATATAATTTAAAAAAAAATCATTCGGGGAGAGAAAATGCAACAAAATCATACGACAAGGATGGTATGGGTGCAAAAAAAAATGTTAAGGACAAATCTATTCTTTCAAGAATACAATTTTATAGACAACATTAAATGATTCCAAGAACTAGTTGATCGAGGACAACTACAGAATATTTATGTGTTTGTCCATATAGTTTCAATTTCTTGTATGATTGGTTCTTGTGGTTTCATTTTGTGACATGGTTGGTTCTTATGGTTTCATTTTGTTGCAAAAAGTGGTATAATTTTAAACTAATACGTTAACGATTAGAAAAACATCTAACCCTAACTATATACCCACCATCTTCCTTCTTTTTCTTTCTCAAGAACCACAATTTCGGTTGGATCCAACCCACCACATTCCTCCTCTTTCTCTCTAAAGAACCAATCACCACTACCGACATCATTCCAGCCAACCAACGCCTGCATAAGTGGCCTCTTGACCGGAGAAGATGACGGAAAAATTCATATTCAACCGAAAATCTACATTAACCACATACGTTTTTCTCTTTTGTAGCCATGGTAACCAAGTTTAATGGTCATATGTAATTATGTATACACGGAAAACATAAGTAATATGTTCACGGGTAAAGTTTATTACCCTTATAAGTTATTACCCCAATTAATAAATTAATAACATTATGTACTAATATGCGCCAAAATTCGATGTAGTAAGCATATCTATCTTTAGAAACCCTTTTTACAAACATGTTTTGGAACCTACAATATATGCAGTTGTTAATAACAAACAACCATCTTTAGAATGTACTCTTCATTGATTCTCTTTCCTTTAGGTTTTTGTTAACATATCTTATTTGGAATTAATTGCACATCCGAGAGGTAAAGGAATCGATGGAGTATTTATCACCTCGATTATAAACAAACCATAGACACTATTGCTATCATATATAATTCCCTTTGAGGGTTGACGATATTTAAACGTCTTATCTAGAAAGGAAATAGAATCGAACCAAGTCGCACTAAAAGCAAACAAAGCCTAAGAATATTAGGTCAAAATTGCATCTGTGAGATTCAATCATTACCAAAAACAACAAGTATAAACTTCCAACTATAGTTCGACAACAACATATAACTAACTCTATATAGTTCATCACTAAAGCATTTGAAAGGTGGAATGATGGTGTGAAGCATTGACCTTTTTTTGAACTTGAGGTTGACCAGGCATTTTTTGTAGTTGAAACATGAACACCATCTTCCCTTCTGAACCTCTTTTTTGTGTACAATGCTCCACAGTGTACAACCCATCATACACAAACACATCAGTGTTGTTCTTTCCAACTCCAACAAGTTTCCTAATCACCCTAACTGGACTTTTCTCATCCATACTGTTCTTCAAAGCAAGATTACCCCTTTCAAGTTTTTGATCATCAGGCGCCACCTGTCGCTTAGACCCAAAGAACCCAACCCCACCACCACCACCTTCACCACAATATGACAGCACATCACAAGATTCACTTGCGTTTGAGTAACGATGAGAATCAACTATACTTATAGCAAGATTCTTCCCATTGATCTTGGTGTAATCTATACCACAATGTGATTGACAATGAAGACCTACCATTTGAAGCTGTGACCTAAATTTGAACCTGTCGCCAGGCTGGACACCGCGGATTTGACCTAATGCCTTGTCAGCATTCATCCATTTCAGCTTTTGTTTGACAATCTTTGCAGCCTCCATGGGGACCCTCCAATGAGCAATCTTTTCTCCCTGTTGTTTTGATCCGTTTTCTTGGAATAATTGAGTGTAAACTGTTTCAAACAAGATCATTGCCTCACGGATCTTTTCACGTCTAACTTGTTCCTTACGTGAGTCCTCAGTATTGATGTCTTTTGCGATTTCAGTATCACCATCATTTGAAGAAGTAGGATCCCAATATTTGACTTTACCAGTTGGATTGTTGTTGATCCCTGATTCTTTAGGTTTAAAGCTTTTGAGTTTATTATTCTCAAAAGGATGACAGTCCACCAACTTAACCTTGTCAATGGAGTTCAGCTTCTTGAGATCTGAGTCAAAGTTATCTAAATTCTTCAGAGGCTTCCTTTCTGGTTTGATCCCACAAACAGGAGGGAAATCGTGGACCACTTGTTTTGTGGGATCCCAAAATTTCACTTTACCAGATGGTCTTGAGCCAAAAGAAGGTTTCTTGAACCCTAATAATCCTTTAGGTTTAATGCAGCTATTGAGTTTATTATCTTCAAAAGACTGAGAGTTCACCATCTTATCCTTGCCATGGGAGGTCGAGTTCTCAATATTGGACTCAACATTCTCTAATTTCTTCAATGGCTTCTTCTCTACTTTACTCACAACAGAATCCTGTAAGATTCCACAACCAGGAGGGAAATCACGGACTGCTTCTACTCCGATTCTGATCTTAGGAGGGGGATACTTCCGCACCACCGTTTTAGGTTTTCTGAACTCGTCAAGTTCACAGTCATCAGCATCATCTAATGGCCGTTTTGTAGAAATGACAGGTTGAGATGTCTCCTTCAGGAACGCCATTGTCGATTCTGAAGCTTCAATTTGAGGTTACGTTCGTAAGAAATCTGAACGGAAAGAAGATGCTACAGTAAGTAAACGATAATTTCAGAAATAATTGCGATATAACTTCAAACAAGGAACAAGAACTCCTTGGTTTTGCATGTCAGCAACTGTACATATACACCAATCTAAAACACAATTTACAGAGCAAAGTTAATCAATACAGCCGTTAGTAATCATTATACGAAGATGTAACCGCTGGCTTTTATAGATCATCAACATCTAACTAATGCGCAGAACAAACAAGAAATGATAAACTAATTATTTCAAATTTTAAACACGATCTCCGCAATTAAACTTGTCATAAATGCTCTTAAAAACCTTAAACAAAGAACAAATGGATTTATACAAAAAACTAAACGCTCTATAATTTTTTTTCTTGCATCCGTGTGAGCACGGATATCGATGCAGACAACAATGGAGAAAAAAATCCTCACCGCCATTGTTGATTGCAAACGGAAGTTTTTAGCAGATAAATCCTATTATCAATCACATCGGTACATGGACAACGCGAAAAATGAAGATTAAACACGAAATCCATGATGATTCGTCAAGAAATGGAAGTCTACAAAGAAACGAATCAAAGATACATAAATCATTACAAAACAGCGGAATTCAAGCAAAATTCTTACTTGAAAGTAACTTTGGAGAATATTTGGGGCAAGCACAGCACACTAGAGAGTGGAGCGAGCGGTTATACTGCAGAGCGAGGAGGGAGGACACGGGGAGAGGCCAGAGGGGAGTTTGTGTGTGGGGTTGCAAGTTTGAAAAAAGTTGGCTTTTTAAGTCGTTGTGTGAACGTATTTTTCCATTTCAAAAATACAAATGACTCAAATTACATATATGTTTTGTCCTTATATTAATAAAAGTATATTACAGATAATTTTTCACTTATCTATTTGATTCTTCCCTTAAAAATAAAATTGTTTTTGAACTTTCTACCTTTTCTTTAAAACTTAGAGAATTTAATGGTTCAGTGTGCTGGCGTTTAAACATTTTTTCCCCTAATTTAGCAATAACTTATCACTTGTAATTTTTTTTGTTATTCGTATCACAATATTCACAATAACATGTAACGAAAAAAATTAATAATAAGAGAATTTAGTATATACTCTTTTTAAACTTTAAAATATACATATTTGTCCAACTTAATTTCTTAATATCATATATCCTTTATAAACCATCAAAATATTATATTTGTTCAAATCTTCTTTTTACAATGTTTTTAGTATTATATAATTATTTTTTATATCTTAGAATTATTATAATAATTAAAAATTTCAACCATATTATCTTTATATTTATAATAATAGAATATCTACTTCTAAATTATTAGAATATACAAACAAAACACTTCATCTCCATCTCTCTCCATAAAATATATGCATTGATTGTTTAGTTTTTGTTGTTGAATATTGTTATGTCGTAAATAAAGGATATTTTAATAACTATCATTTATATTTTGATTTTTAAAAAAACATATATGATATTTTGATATTTAAAAATGACATAGATTATATTTTGATGTTTAAAAAATTATATATGATATTTTAAAATTTTATGAAGGGTAAAAATGATATTTAGAAATTAAATTGGACACATATGATATTTTGATATTTAATAAGGTTATATATATATTAAATACTCCCAAAAATAATTGGTTTCAAACTCATATATAACTTTCAAGTCTTTGGGAGGAAGGGTGCCACGTGTGGCCCATCTATTGTAAGTCTTAGGGAGGAAGGGTGCCACCAGATCGTGCCAAGTGTCGCTCATCCGTGGTGCCACGTGTCGCGATCTCGACGGTCAGAATTTAATATTTTTTCTAAAAATCTTAATTTTCACATACAGGTTTCGTTTTCGACGGTTTTATATCCACACGTAGTTATCGACGAGTACTACAACTTTCATTTAGACTCATTTGACTAGTTCTCACTTTATTTTTTGTGTTTCGTTTCGAGGAGGCTTAGCATATAAATAACGCTGCGAAATTCACAACTTCTTCATACGAATTATGTTTTCGACTGTCTTTATATCCCTGACTTTGTATTGACGAGTACTACAACTTTCATTTAGAGTCTGTCAGCTAATTCACATTCTATTTCAATTTTACAAATCCGAACAGATTTTGTATGCGATTCGAAACTTAGGGACCAAGTTTCGCTTATATCCTTCGCATACGAGCTCCGTTCTCGACTGTCTTTATATTAACAGATTCGTATTTACGAGATCTTCAACTCTAGTTTACATTTGTTTTGGCTAACAATCAACCAATTTTAATTTCGATTTCTGTATCGCACACTGTTGTACACTGTCGCATCGAAACTTTGAAAAATCAAAACTTCCTCATACAAAGTCAGATTTTGGCGTTCTTTATATTGACGCGTTCCTATTGAGTATTGACGATCACTTTGACTTTCATTTACATCATTTGGCGAAAAAGCAGCCTATCTCCGATTCGTTTTTTATGATGCACCTTGTCGCATCGGTTTGAATGCTAAACTTAGATAAATCATAACTTCCTCATACGAAGTCAGATTTGGTCATTATTTATATCCACAGAATCATCATCACGACTAGTACAACTTTCGTTAAGATTATTTATCCAAAATAATCTTTTATTTTATAGTTTATTTTTATCGTTTAACGATAAATTATATATTCAGGTTTTTCTACAAATATTTTAGACTCCTAATATTTGTCCACTTATTGTATATACGATAATTGTTTATTATCTCATAACACATATGAATTTAATTAACAATTTTAATTGTTCGATAAAATGTATAATTACTACGATTATACTCTAAATGTCTAGCCCAAAATTGCAGGCGTTACAATTACTCCCCACTTAGGATGATTACGTTCCGGAATCATACAACAACAACACAGCTCTGAATAACGATTCCTAAGTTGCCTCTCGATCCCCTAGTATGGATTTACCTCGGTACTTGTTTCCACACAATATTATTTCATGAAATAATGTTTAGGTTCCTTTATGACAGTTTAACAGCTCGCCGACCTACTTCCATAACATTAAGTCTATTGATTAAGGTTTCAATTAAGCGACATTTGTTATGTCGAATTCTTCACATGATAATTTTTTCTTATCCCAATTTGACAAATTTCACGAACTTAATTGTTCTATACCCTTTTGGGTTTCGACTTTGTCAGACTACAATAGTTTTCACGTTATCACCATCATAAGTATTCTTAAGAAGGTCAAAGAAGGGTCTTAGACAAAAATCTTTACTTATTCCCGATAACAAATCTATGAAAACATTCTCTACAAACCAATTCACTGCATATATGATACCTAGGAAGGTATACTTTTATCGCTTGGTCAATTCTGACCCATAACATATCGTGATTCTACACAATATTGGAACACTTGATGATGAGATCTAAGGTAAGATCGTTCCATTTACCCATAGGCATAGGTAAAAGTCTCAAGTTCCCTCACGATATTTGATGTCGTGTCCTCTCTTGACGACTAAAACATTCATTCTATCATCTACATAACGAGTCTTGAAGCTAATTACTCCTCTCATATCTTCTTGTGCTGCAAGCCTGCAACTCTCCTATATTTTGACGTTGAATCCAAAGTCGAGTTACCTTCCGCACTTTTGCCTTAAGGATTTGTTATCCCCTACTTGATTTTGAACCCTTACCGGAAGAAACTCCTTATTGTCATATAAATGGATTTAACATCCCTGACATAGTATCACTGCTTGTGTCCACAACGAGTGATCTTTTCACATAACACGACTTCAGTCTGAGATCACGACAAGCATGAAGTCATCCACTAATGCACACATATGCAAAATAGTGTAAGAGGATATTACCAACGTAATGGAAATATTAGCTGTAACGCCCGGGTTTCGGGGCTAAGCATTATCAGATGATGTAATAGTCTAGGTCAACTATTGTAACTCTTTTGAGATAATAAAGATGAAATATTTGAGTATTATGTGAATTATGTGCCTTTATATGCTTATTATTTATTTATAACGATATAATAAATAAAGGATAAAATAAGCGTAAAAAATAAAGTGTTATATAAACCCAATATCTATGAAGAAAGTTGTATTGGTCGTGACAAGGATTCCAGAAATATAAAGAACGTCGAAATCTGAGTTATAACGAAGAAGTTATGACCTGTCGAAGTTTCACGACAAAACCGGCACGACGTTGTGTGACGTAAATAGTGAATTTACGATTGATGACTTTTTTGGCCTTAGTAATCTAAACCAAAGTTGTAGTATATGTTAAACCGAGAGCGTGCATAAAAAGAACGCCCAAATCTGACTTCGTATGAAGAAGTTATGAATTTTCTAAGATTTGGCTTAGTAGTGCACAACCCGAAACTCGAATTTTAGATCGAGCGGTTTTGGCCTATGCGACCTAAATGAGAATTGAAGATCTCATTAATAGGAACTCAACGGTAAAAAGACAGACGAAAACAGAGTCCGTATGTAGAAGTTATGAATTTTACGCGGAAATCTAACAGTATAATCTCCTCATACTGTTAAATTTAAGATCGGTCGAGAACTAGCCGACGGAGTCAAAATGAAAGTTGTAGATCTTATTTTTACCTACGCGTGGATATAAATAATGTCAAAAACGGAGCTCGTATGTGAAAGTTACGGATTTTAGAAGTCGGAAGTGTGTTGTGCGAAAAATGGGTGACGTGGCACAATCTTGGCCATTGCTTTCTCCCCAAGTCTTGCCACCAGATGGTGACATGTGGCACCAAGTTCAGCCATATTTCACCCTATAAATAGAACCTCTCCCACCCTCATTTTCTTCACATATTTCCCATTCTTTCTTTCTCTCACTAGTTTCTCTCTCTAAGCCCCCTAACCCCCCCCCCCCCCCCCCTAAAATCTAGGAAAACCCCCTACCACCCGAAGGAAGCCCCGAGGCTTCCGGAGTCCCGAGAAAAAGGGGTCTTTCGGTTC